TCAACAGTCCAGGGTTTTGTTTTGTTTTGTGTTTTTTGTTTTTGGCGCTGCTGAAGCAGCGAAGCTCACTAATGCCTTTCAAGAGAAAAAAAAAAAATGGTTGCCAGCCCCCTCGCTGGCTTGTGCTGGACATAACAGCAATTCTGTCAAGTTGAGTGGAGACTCCGGGCATGAATTGACATCTCCGCAGTTTAAGCCGGAGAGGAAAGGATCTCTTTTGAAATGTAAATATCAGAGTTTAGCTTTAGCTTCGATTTTGTCCCAGAAAGGAACGGGAATGTATTTTGCTTAAAAATGCCTTTCAGTTCACCTGTTTGGGTTTAGACCAAAGAATGTAAATAAGTCCTGGCCTTTTCAACCAAGGGAGTGAATTACATAGCAAAGACACAAGACCCTGAGGTGTAATCTTTGTTAACAGATTTCAGGAAAACAGAGACAATCTCTTTAATGGGGCTGTAATTTTTGTATTGAAATACATATGGCTGCAATTTGGCCCTGAGTGTAATAGGCAGTAAGATTTAATCCTTTTAATATTCTCTGTAATTGCACGTAACAGCACTGAGCCTCTGGATACCCCGTCCAACATATGGTGGTTTCCCAGAGGCCCAGTGGTGGGGAGGTACTTAATGCCTATTTCACCCATGAGTCCCTTCCCAGGAGGCAGAGAGGGAGATGGGAAGGGAGAGGCTTGCTCCCACAGGCTGGGAGGAAGAGGAAGGAGAGCATTCTTTTTAAGTTTCTAGAGAAATACTACACCATCATCACCATCCTCCTTACTCCTTAGGTTACTGAGGGCATGTCAGAGTAGAGATGCTCAGAGCAGAAACAGGCCCCTTACCCACATGCCCTGCTTTCTGAAAGCAGCTGATCATCCTCCAGAATGACGCACAGCATTCTCACCAGTTGAGATGATTAGCTGAATCTCAGCTGGGGACACAGCTAGGGGGCACATCTTTCTCTGGAGATGATTTCGAACAGGACAGTTTCATTTGTTCGAATGAAAAGCGAAGGAACAGGAAAGGAAGCAGATTCGTTGAGCGCCCACCGTCTGAGCGTTCACAAAGCCTAGCTCGTTTAATGCCTACAGAAACAGAGCAGGAAGGCATTGCTGTGCTCATTTTATAAACAATGAAAGTAGCGGTCACGTGGCCAGAGTCAGAATCCAAAGCCAGCTCTCTGGTTCCGAAATTTCGCATTTCCTCCCCCCCCCACCCCCCACCAAGCAACTTCCAGATGTGAGCTTTCTCTCTGAATAAAGGCATCTCATCTCTCTTCCTGTAGCAAGTACCTGTCGACACTGCTGGGGGTATTCTCCACATACTGTTTGTGTGCTAGCAACAGCCTCCCAGCCTTCTCTGTGCATCAGCAGGCCAGGAACGGGGAAAGATCAGAAACCCTTGTGCATGTGTGTGTTTCCCCTCCACATTTTGCAAAGATCAGAAAGCTTCCACTATCGAAAGCTTCAAACCCTGGCTTCCACGAGCCAGTTGTTCCCGTGAGCTTAGCAGAAGGGTGAAGAAAATGTTTTCTGTAGCTCGGCAACCCCTCGTAAGAGCTCGAAAATCTTCTTAAATCAGCCCGCTCTGAATTACTAAGGAGGTTGCTGGGTTTGGGGCTTTGAAATATCGAGCCTGAGACAAATAATCTCTCTCAGCCTCGGTTTCTCTATAGTTAAAATAAGGGGTGTTCCGTGGTGTATAGGGAAGGCCCCGTGCAGTGCTGGGGTGAGCGGGGACTTAATAGATAGACCTTGCGTCATAGTTGGCATACACAGAAGTTGCCTCTGGTGTCTGGGGGACCAGCATCTGGCAGGATCTGCCCAGGATGTTACGTGGCCCCACCTGAGTGATACGCACTTAAGAAAGAGAGGCTTCGAGTGAAAATTAAGCAAGTGGAACTCTCATCTCTGTGACTCATCGGATTAAGTTCCAGAACAGCAAAAGCTTCCCTCGAAACGGATCCAGCCAGTTCTTTGTCTCAGGGATTCTCCACACACGTGTCCCGTTTGAAATCATCTCCAGAGCTTCCCTTTGGGAGAGAGTTTTAAGCCCATATAAAGGAAAAGATGAATTTGGCAGAAAGGAGAGCCAGTCTTTTCTCTATTCAGAAATACAAAAGCGATGTCTAGAAGGTTATACTTACGGTGTTCAACCCAGAATTTTTTCCAAACTATCTCCCCAAGTCCCCTGTACAGCAGGAGTAAGGTAGCAGAACTTCTGGCCTTATGTTAAGACCAGACCTTTGCAGAACACTCGCCTCCTCCGTGTCAGCCCTCGCCTTGATCCTGACCAGGCAGGCGATATGAGTTCCGTTTTAAAGGTCAAGAAACTGAGCCAGGAAGAGATGGAGTGACTTGCCCTAAGCTTTCAGCTCCTTATGCTAAATGGTCTTTCATCTCCACCACGAATACTCTCCAAAAGATTGACTACAATACGAAAAATTTTGCCAGGCCCTTACCTTTCCCATTTCTGTATGAAGGCTTTTCAGACTCTTTCCAGGGCTTTGTCATCTAGTCGTAGAGCTTGACGGTGGGCAGGATAGAAATGACACTTTTAGCTCATAGAAGTAATGCCCTACTTTAAAGAGAAGTCAGTGTTATAAAATCCTCACTTGGTTACAGGTGCATGAAGGAGGTACATATTGACATTGTAGAGGGATACATGGTTTAAAAAAGTATTCACGGTTCCTTTATTTTGCACATTTCCTTCGACGTGCTTAAAACATGACCTGATTTCCTCGACGTGGATTTGCATACAGCTCAAGGCATCGTGCGCTATGGAGTAGGGGCCCCTGGACTGCCAGCTCGTTCGCGTGACAGACCTTTTACCAGAAGTGTCATCATCTTAGCCCCAGTGCCGTGGGCTAGGACAAACCACAGGGACCTCGGGAGAGGCTGAAGAAGAGGGAGGAGCATTTGGGAGCTAGTCACGAGCTAACAAAACTCCGAGAAACAGAAAGGCGAATGGGAGCAAAGAATGCCATCGAGCCACGGGGATACTCTGGCCAAACTAGTCTCATTTATCCCCACGTCTATCCATCATTGAAATTGGCTCCCATCTCCATTTCTTTAACTAGATGATGGAGTGCGGCTTAGTTTCTATTATGCGGTTGCCATGGCAGCTCTTCCAGTTGGCTCTTTTTCCATGAAATCAAGAAAGGCCCTTTTTAGGGGACGACGGGGAAGAGGGACACTCACCGATGGGTCACGACGGTGACGAACACCTGGGCGGCCTTTTGGGCAGAGACTGCTGGGGACACGTGAGAGTTTCCATCCCCCAAAACCAACCCGGCCTGGAAGCTGCCAAGAGAAAACAGGTTGTGTGGGGCTCTGAGCCTGGAGTTTGTTTATTTAATCAAAGCTGCCAAGGAGGTTTAATGAGGTTTCGACTAAAATTCCTTCTCAGGGGCTTTTCCCTTTGGGGTGACAAGCCACAGAGCTGGAGAGGGCTAAGGATAAGTGCCCAGGCGCCTGGGCCTTGGGGAGCCGGCAGCTCTGCCGAGCTCATTAGCACTGGTGGGATAATGTGGTTGGTCCCTCTCCCCCCATTCCAGGCCTGTGCCACTTCCTTCATTAACCTTCCCACCCAAGGTCCCCGATAAGGGGCCCGTGACCAAGGGGATTCTGCTGTGCATAGAACATGGGCCTTCTTGTTCTGGCCGTGAACTCCCTGACTTGTGGCTGTGACTTTGTGGGTAGGTGTGTTTTTCTGGACTAAGGGTCTACATCTCATCAAGCTCTCAGAGGAAACTTCCTTAGTAAAAAGTGAAACTCGGTCCAGGGCTGGCCCTGGGAAAGGCATTCTGGACAGTGGCTCACCTGGGCAGTGGGATCTCAGGTGTGTCGCCGTCTGCTCTCCTCTCCAGAGATCACTTCCTGCTTCTGAGGTCTGTCACAGAGGGTGGCTGGCACCACATTCTGGCCACGGGGACACTTACTTCTGAAACGGTTCATTAGTATTAATGACCCATCCACTGCCAGAATCACATTTTGGCAGTTTTATTTTCATGATGCTGATGACCAAGCCCCACACCAAACCCTCCAATTTCATTGGCCAGTCTGGGAAGAGACACCACAGGTGATTTTCACGTACAGCCGGGACTGATGACCACCGAGCAGGGTTATCAACACAGAGTAGCACGGGCGAGCCGAGGGTGGTGGAGAGTTTTCGTCTCACCCGTGTTTTCTAGTGACTGGTTGTAGGTGCCTGAAATGCTCTGTCGTAAAGGTTTTTACAACCGTTTCCCAGCTCGGAATGCAAAGGATCCTGATCCGGTGGTAATCTCTAGGGGAAGGGAAGTTGTCGGTATATGTACAGCTGTCTCCATGTTCATCTAGACACACACATATGCATCATGTGTGCATGCGCTCACCTATGTGTGTAAACACACACCAAAGATAGAATGTCCTCCTGTTCAACTTCCGGTCCCTTCTGCTTCCAACTCCCTTCGCTCAAGTTCAAGCACGGCCCCAGAAGCCCCAAGCAAAAGAACAATGCGCAGAGCACAGTGCCTCGCCACGTTTCCCTCGACAAGGTCACACTTCTGTGAGTGACACCGAGCACGTCTCCTCTCAAGGAAGACTCTCTTCCTGCCCAGATTCTCAGTGAATGCTGCTACCAGCAACAACAGCAGCGGCTGCCATTTGTTTTGTGCCTCCTGTGGGCGAGGCGCTTTTCCAAATGCTTTCCGTGGATTCGCCCAGTCCACCTCCACAGAACTGGGTGAGGACTGACGATTGTCCCCGACGTGCCGAGGAGGAATAAGGCCCAGAGGAGGCTAAAACCGGCGGCACAGGTTTGGGCGGTAGGTAAAGGGCAGAGCCGGGATTCGAGCTCAGGGAGTCTGGCTCCCAACAGAGACCTTTCACTGTGCGGCACTAGCTGAGCACTCCTGCCGGCTCGCACACGCACGCACACGCACGCACACGCACGCACACGCACGCACACGCAGAAGGGTCGCCCGTCTCTGCATCGCACCAGCCGTCGGGCCCAGAGCACTAAACGCTGTTTTCCCTCCGACAGGCTTCATCCCGCCTCCCCTCATCTTCGGGGCCGGCATCGACTCCACCTGCCTGTTCTGGAGCACGTTCTGCGGGGAGCAGGGCGCCTGCGCCCTCTACGACAACGTGGCCTACCGGTACCTGTACGTCAGCATCGCCATCGCCCTCAAGTCCTTCGCCTTCCTCCTCTACACCACCACGTGGCAGTGCCTGAGGAAGAACTATAAGCGCTACATCAAAAACCACGAGGGCGGGCTGTGTACCAGTGAGTTCTTTGCCTCTACTCTGACCCTAGACAACGTGGGGAGGGACCCTGTGCCCGCAAAGCCCACGCATAGGACAAAGTTTATCTATAACCTCGAAGATCATGAGTGGTGTGAAAACATGGAGTCTGTTTTATAGTGACTCGAGGAGGGTTGGACTCTGTATAGTAATCAGAGGGTCGTTTTTCCTACAAAAAGAAAAAAAAAAAAAGGTTTTCAAAAAAACTCCACACACGCACACACACGCGCGCACACACGCACGCACACACGCACACGAATCTTGTCCTTTTTCTCAAAATCAGAGCCACACGGGATTCAGAATGAGGAGAGTATGGGATCATGAGTCTCACGTGTGACGTGCTGGGGCTCAGAGCCCGCTCTTTGAAGCCACCTCATGGTGATTCAGGATGCCGACAGCTGCAAGCAACAGGCACTGCCAAATTCAGGGAACGGTGGTGGCCAGCTCGGAGGACGGACGTTTCTGGATATACATACACCACACAAAAGTTTGTTTTTTTTTTTTTTACAGAAAGTCTACTAAAAAAACACAAGTCGACAACATTGCCAGGATAAGCACTAGTGACACACCCTGTGCCACCCTCCCGTGGGGGTGGGGCGGCACGCAGGTCGGAGGAGCGGAAGTCCCCTCCTCTCTCTGACTTTCGCAATATGGGTCACTGTGTAGACCACTCACCCAGTCTGCATGAGGTTCAAGGCCCCAGAGTTCTCTCAGCGATGCTAACGGGTGATCATGCTGGAGTCTGTAATTGGCACCTCTCACCAGCTCCACTTCCCTGCTCAAGACTGAGGGCCCGAGGGGGAGCCGGGTGTGGGGGGCCAGCACCTCACCTTCCTCCCCCCACCCGAGGCACCTCCCCGTGGCGGGCGCCGCCTCCCCCAGCTCCCCCAGAGTGACCTCAGGAAGCAGAGGGCCTCGCCTGGCTATGACTGACCTCGCTCAGAGCCGGCGAAACCCAGCCCAGTCCAAGTCATTTGCTTATATTTGCCAAACATTTTGCCATTTTTTAGGGGAAAAAGAAAAAAGAAAAAAAGCAATGCATATGAATTTCAAACTGTTGTATGTATAATCCTCTAATACTATTTTTAACTACTTCTTAATTCTGTGTTCACCCTTCAGCCACTAACACAGTTCTCTAGGCCGAATTTACTATGCTGGTTGCTTTTACGTTCCTCCTTTTTTTAATGCACCAAAAATATAATGTGATTCAAGGGATGCAATTCATCTATTGTAATTTTTTTTTTTAATCATTTTACCGTCATTCAGATATTCTGTGAAAACAAGAATATACAACATGTTACAAGGAAAAAAAAAAAAAAAAAGCTTGAAAAAGAGTGTGTATACGCAGACTGCCTTTAAAAGCATCGCATCTGAGACAATGGGGATAATGTGATGAATCGCAAATCTGCCTCCTCGCTTTATCCCCCATGACTCAGTGATCACTGTCACAGGCGGCCCTTTTATATTCACGCTTCACGTTCCCTTTCAGCCTGTGGAGGAGACGTGCTTAGGTGCGGGTGGCATGCATGGGTGCGGTGCTCCTGGGCGGGGCGAGAGAGAGAGAGAGAGAGAGATACTATTACTTGATCAATATTCATCAAAGCAGAAGAAGAGAGAGGGAGAGGGAGAGAGAGGGAGAGAGAGGGAGAGACAGACAGACACACAATGGCTCTCTAACACAAGCTGTGGTCTCTGCAATAACGAATAAACCCACACGCTCCCGGAGGCGACGGCGTGTCGGATGCGCGAAAATGCCAATGAGGCTTTCGGGGTCCGTCTCCCACGGAGACGCCTTTGTCTGCGTGTGTTTTGAAAACATCGGCACGTCAGACGGGTAGAGAGCACACTGGTCACTGCTCGGGGTGAGGATCATGGGAAACACCTTACAGCCAGGACACTCAGCCTTATCGAGCCACTTCCATAAGGGAGCAGGGCCTCTGTGAGAGCACACGCATACGCACGCGCACGCACACGCACACACGTGGCCCAGCTCACCTGCCCGTCATGCTTCTTCAGTGACCAGGCCTCTCGTGACCCAGGGAAAGGACCTCAGGGGTTGTTGGGCTGGCTGGTTTGCTTTTCCGCCCCAGATGTGTATTTGCAGTCACCCAGAAGTAGAGAAAAGAGGGGAGACGAGAGTCGGGGGCGAGAAGGGTGTTGTGCCCAATGTGTACCAAGGGGCAGTTTGAGTGACAGCCCAAAACTAGAGAACGTGCCAGCAAGGAAGGATGGCGCTGGGGCACTGGGGTCGGCGCGCGCGCGGCCTGTGACAGGATGCTTCCAAACGACCTTTCCCCTGAGAGCTTCTATCTGTCCTTGTTCAGGAAAACGGAACGCTCGTCACAATGTCACCCAGTAAAAAGTCAGATTGTTCTCTCTGTACGGTATAAAACGCGTGTGGCCTGTCACCCTTCACGGGTTTTTAGTTTTGTTTGGAAGTCGTCTCTCTCTCAGAAGTCACTGCCGTCACGTATGATCACATAGCGCTCTGAACTCAGTGCACACACGCCGGGGCCCGATGACCTAGTGTCTCGTGGGGCTGTTTGCTTTTAAGGTTTTGAAAACTCTTTGCCTTTTGGATTTTTTTTTTCTCCCTACGATTTTAGGATGGACGAGAATGTTAGAATGAGAAAGGAAGACACGGCCGAGGCTCAGTAGTATCGACAGCTGGATATAAGTTTAAAGTCCCCTGTGGCAAGGCGGCTCTGGAGCGTGCTGTGGGCTTTTAAAAGTTTTAATTTCTCTCCTATCCTACAGAACGGGAAACCTGGTCTAGTTTTCATGGTTGGTGCGTGCTGCCACGCACCGTTGTACCTTCCGTGCTCGATCCGGCCCCTTGGTTGGTTGTTTGGTTTGGGGTAGTAATTTCCTGGTAAGATTTCCCCTGGACTTAGAGAAAACAAAAATGGAAGGAATGGAATAAACTTAGAAAGTGATTTCTCTGCTGCTACCAACTTTTCTGCCATCTCAGATGAAAAAGTCTTTGCTGCAACTTTTGACAGACTTGTAACTCCTGCAGATAGACCCAGAATTTTTTTTTTTTTCTTATTTTTTATTTTTTACCAAAAGGATGTCTCCATGGCGGATAGACCCAGAATTTTTTTTTTTTTTCTTATTTTTTATTTTTTATTTTTTACCAAAAGGATGTCTCCATGTGAAGTAAACACATCTTGTAAGCGTCTCTCTGGGGGACGCGGTTTCCTGTCTTCCTTCAGCCGGGGCTGTGAAGCTCTAAGGGGCCCTGGGGACATTGCCACTCCAGGCTTTCCTCACAGCTCACGGAGCGAGAGAGGCCTCCTTTCATGGCTCCCTAAGGAGCCTGCCAGCAGCGCCTAACAGGCAACGCATTAAGGGGAACCCAAGGGCTTCTAAGGGATCCTTATCAGACTCTGCGATGTCTTCTGAGCAGGAAGGAGCGTGTCTCTCCATAAACATCTCTTCCCTCTCTCCATCTCACGGTGGACTAGCTTCCTCTAGTGACGGTTTTCGAAGTTCGGTTCGGTGACAGTCCTGCATTCAGATCCCTGATTCTCCCTCCCTGTCTCCAGTAACGACCCAGAGCTTCCCGCACTCAGGCATGGCCACCTTGCCCATCCTTTGCCGCTGGGGACCCCCGCGGAAGCAGTCGCTGGCTCCTTTCCTGCCGCCTGCTGCTCAGCTCCCGGGATTGCGGTGTCTGCCCCGAGTCCTGTGTTCCGAGCGCTGACAGCCAGCCCTCCGCCGCCGCACTGAGTCAGCGTGGAGACAGCGCTGTGGCCCATCGCACAGTCAGGAGCAGAGGGAGAAAGGCTAAGCCTCCGTCCCGGTCGGGTGCAGTGACACTATTTTATGGTTGTCTGTGTGTCGGGCTTGGTTTCGATGAGGGGAGAAAACCGAGCAAGCACAGTTTCGGACCAGCAGAGAACATTTGCTGTCTCGTGCTGTCCCTGCCTATTTCAAGAGCCCGCCCAGGAGCCGGGACAAAGTTCCAGACGCACAGTAGAGGCTCGGGTGCTCCTCTGAGTTGGCGGCACTGCCCTGTCCACTGGGGTCTGTGGTCCCCTTTACGTTAGAACACGGTGCCACGTTTTCCAAGAGAGGGTGCTGGTGAACTTGGCCTAGAAAATGAGGGACCTAAGTATGGGCCGGGCCCTCCTCTCCCTGCGCGACCCTCCTCGTTCATTACACCCCGCCCCTCCCAACCTGGTCCCCGATTCGTGAGTTCAACACCACTGCCAAGACCTAACATCTTAGAGAAACTGGCCTTGAACGACAGCCAGGACCCAGCCCCCTGGGCGTTCCTGTTGTTCGGGATTAAATTGGTAACACAGAGGAATCTCTACCTGGCAGGGTAGCAGGGAACGTACTTTTGTTCCGATGCCTCTCCTGAGGCCTGTTCCCCGTGGTAACTACCGTGTGGGATCCACACAGCCACCCACCCACGCCTCTCCTTTCTCACGTTTGTAGGTGACCTCAGAGTCATTATGGCAGAGAGGACACGCGCTAAAAAAGCCAAAAACGGGAAGCTCAGAAAAGCCAAGGTTCTCTGAAATCTGACTGCCATGGAGATAGGGTCAGGACGCACACACGCACGTGCACGCACACGCGTGTGCGCATGCATACACACACACACACACACACACACACACGGGCCTGTGTCATTTCCGGTGCACTGTGAGAGCCTGGCGTTTTCGAAGCATGTAGTTACTCATTCGTTCCTTTACGAAACTGTCGCCTGTGTGACACACACGTGAAAAAGGCACAGTGCCGTCATCTAGGCGCTCACAAACAACAGAATGGTGACAGGGCAAGGGCCACCGGCGTGGGTGCACAGACTTCCTGTAAAGGGCCAGGTGGCAAATGTTTTAGGCTTCGAGAGCCACGTCATCGTGACAGGACAGTGGCCCCAGACAAGGTAGAAATGAGGGGGCGAATAAAGCTTGATCTACGAAGACAGGCAGGCGGCGGCTGGATGTGGCCGAGCTCTGTTCTGGGCACAGGCTGAGGTCTGCAGCAGCACAGTGTGTTTGTGGGGGGAAGGGGGGCGGCTGCTGTCGCATGGGCTGGGTCATGAGTTGGAAGGTACCTTCAGCCAGGTGTCCGTCAACTATCTGGGTCTAACTCAGGTATCCCATTTTCCCAAGAAGGAGGTAAGTAGCCCTTCTTGTCAGGGTTTACAGTCAGAGGCAACATCATCTTTCTCTTGTGTGATGAGGGGAATTTGAATGTTACAATTGAGCCCCGTCTATTTCTGACCCTCACTCCGCCGTTCTGCCAGAGTAATCCTTGCTTCCTAAGTGGTGGACATGGGCATGGGAGATGTAGAGACGACCAAAAAAAAAAAGTGAAACCAGACACCGAAGCCTATTTCACATCCCCCTGCCTCCTTCCCACCAATACGAAACGCTGAATCTGTGAAGCTAATAGGTAGGCCAGGTGGGATAATTGGTAAGCACTAATAACTAATAATAGTAGCTAACATTTGTCAAACACTTACTATGAACAAGCTTATTACCTATATTAGCTCATTTAATCTCAACAGTAGCCCTGTGAGTCAGGAACTATTATTAGCTTTACTTTCCAGGAGAGGAAAATGAAGCTTGGAAAATTCCCAGAATTGGCTCCAGGTCACAAAGCAGAGTGGGGATTCAAACCGAGGTCTGTGAACCCGAAGCCCATGTTCTTAGCCTTAGCATCTGTGGATACTCGCTCCCCACTGGGCAAGATGGAGGGATCCGTCCCCACCTGTAAGGACCCGTCCCCACCTGTAGAGAGAGACTGCCTCATCAGACTCTGGCTCAAATGGACTATGGGACCCCACACACTCTCGAATGAAATAATCAGGACACGGTGACAGCTGTGCTCTGGGGACCTCTGTTCTTCCTGTTATTCTTGGTCTTAATCTCAGAGCCCCATGGTCAGTTTCTGTGGGGTGTTCTATCAGAAGCAGACAAGTAAGAGGAATTTGGAGATTTCTGCACTATAGTGTACTTCCCAAGCACTGAGAGGCCGGGAAGTCACTCCTCAGTGCTGGTTGCCAGCTCCACACAGGAGACCCCAGACACCTGTCCTGCCTGGTACCTCCGCGGGTCACAGCGTCGACCTCAGGACCCCATGGCCTTCAGACACACTGGCCACTGGTTAGATATGTCTTACTCTGTTACAAGATGCTAGGCTTTAAGAAACAGTTCCCAGACATTTCTATTTTTGTATTAATGACTCAGGCCAACGATCAGTAGTTAGTT